GCGCGCACACACACACACACACACACACACACACACGCACACACGCCCTCCCTCAGCCTCATTCCACTCTGCACTCTTGTTTCCTTTACTGGCAATCCTTCCCCATGCTACCTATTACCTTCTCATCCGCTGTGTGATTCATTTATGTGCCATCTCCCTCCCCAGCGAGGACGGAAACTCCACAACAGGGGGTTTTTGGTCTGCTCTGGTCAGTACTTCATCCGCACTGTCTAGGACTGAGCTTGGCACTAAGTAAGTGCTCAGTGAATATTTGCAGAATGACTTTCTTATGAAACAGAAGCATATAGCAGAATGTGCCTTTTGTTTTAAAAAAGTCTCTTTCCTTGCTTTATTACGTCATATGGGATAAAAGCATACAGTCTCATACACATACTTAAAACATTGCCTGGTGATTGCCCAGAAGTACTTTGGTTAGCCAACTGCACTGGTTCTCTCTGCACAGAGCATGTCCCCTGAGGCATTCATTCATAGAGGTTTTCATGTTTACATTTAGCAATGAGGCATAAATAGTGATGCTATAATTAAATAACCTGAAGCAGAGTTCTCCTTTGAGGTTACATTTCAACATAAACAACAACAAAAAAAATATTGATAGAAATTTTAATGACCACAGTTCATCTTATACACCAATAAGAGAAGTTTTAAAATTCCTTAAAAGTTATTAACCACTGCATGATTTCAAATGATGACTAAGTAATAGACCACATATACGCATAATATAAAAGCACACATTTTAGACCAGAATCACATGGGTTGTTTTGCAGAATTTTTCTGTTGCTATTTCTATACATATAGACTTCACAAAATACCAAAATGTTATTAGTCACTGACCAGCTTTTCTCTTTTCCTTATTTCATGAAAACATCTGTTCTTTATACTGCCCACAATAATTCAGCTTGACCTTTTTCATACTGTGAATAGATAACTTCTGGAAGTGTTCTTAAGCATATGAAGTTAGAAGTACAAAAAAGATAAAATAAGGTTATAAAGCATTCCTTCATTCCTTCAGCGAACATCACTAATAGTTACTGAGCGCCTGCTATGTGCTCACTGATGTGCTCAGCAGATAAACCATGGAGACCTTCACTTAAGATCATAAATGTCCATCTTGCCTCTCACACAGAAAAGGGCTGAACTCCAGTTCTATAGTACAATCACAGATAAAGAAAAGCCCTGCTACTTTCAACAAAAATAAAATGAAAGTCTCAGAGCTCATGAAATAATTTCACGTGAAACTTCAACAGCACTGGCAGACATTACCTCTTTTTTAAACACTTGACTACTGAATTATCAAAACCAGAATGTGTCAAGTTTGCTAGGACAGCTACTTACACTAGTTGAGTCTCTCACATTTTACTTAATAATAACTATTTCCAAAAGCCGGGCATGGTGGCGCACCCCTGTAATCGCAGCACTTGGGAGGCTGAGGCAGGAGGAACACTATGAGTTCGAGACCAGCCTGAGCTACATAGTGAGTACCAGGTCAGTCTCAACATCATAGTGAGACCCTGTCTCAAAAAACAAAAAAAACCCAAAAACAACGACAAAAAAAATAACTATTTTCAAATTAACTAAAAGCCATGAAATTCTACCCATATGGCCTTACAACAAACTGAACAATTTCTCAACAGTGTTAATCTGTGTTTTTGTTATTTTTGTTGTTCTGATTTGTTTTTGTGCTGCTGGTGATCAAACCCAAGGCTCACACATGCTAGACAACTGAGCAGCACCCAAACCTTCCACCTATGTTTTAAATGAACTAGAATATTACCACCAAATCATACAATCTCTGTATTTCCCCCAAGGAAATATCTTGGTGATCACTTTGTCAATACCTTTATTGCTTATTCTTCAAATTGAAAAATGTTCTTCCCCAGATCTCCAGCGCTTCAGAGCTTAGAAGAACTTAACATCACCAAGAAACTGAAGCTATGTGAGCATTTTTATAGAATCCAGGAACAAAAGGGACTCTGGAGTCATAGCTTTGGTCGTACAAATTCCTACCAAATGATCCAATTCCTTTAGCAGCACTCAACATCACTGTCTGGTTTACACCAGCATCTAAACAAGAAACAGCACGTTCCATTAAAAAAACGACTCCAACTTTCACGAATGACTTTCATCTTCTGATCTGAAAGCGATCTCTGGTAACTTTCTCTTCCTGGCCCTCCTGTTCTCTGGAGGTGGGAAGAGAGACAGAAACCATCCAAACCCTTTCTGTGAGATACTTCCCAAAGGTGCCTAACCGTCTCACTAACTGCTCCTGCTAAGACTGCCCCAGGGTCCTCACCAGGCAGGCACAGTATAAAACGCAGCCCCCAGCACTGACTGGGAATGGCCAGATCAAGTAGCCCCTCTCCAGAGCAGTGTATCTAGTAATTAAGCCTACAAATAAACTGCATCTGACGACAGCCCTGTGATGCTGTTGGTTTAAACTGACACCCACACAAGGCGAGCAGAGTAGGGTGGCCAGTGGAGGTCTTGTTCCCTCATCCCGCCCCCGAGAGCCTGCCCTTCTCTCTAAGGCGCCTCTTCAACTCTCCTCGCCATTTACATCTCCCGGCAGCCACTGAGCGGGTCAGGTGGCCCCTCGAGGTCTATGCACCACCGTAGTCATCGCCACTCACCATAGAAACCTGCTCTTTGTCGTGAGCTGCTGATGATAAGATGCACACTGGGTAAATTGTCCCTGATACCAAGTTTCCAGGTAGATGGCATCGCCAAAACTGACATTTTTTTCCTTTAAAACACTAAAAAACTTATATGTTCACACAGGATATCACTATAAAATCATCAGAAACTATGATTCTTTTTTTCCTTAAACCTTTACTGCTTTAAAGATTTTCTGATATTACTTAAATCCACGCAAAATTTTATAAAGTTCCACAGGTATCAACAGTTCATAAATTCCAAGGGGCTTTTGGATAGTTTTTTTTTTTTAAATTGGTATCAGAAAAATTTCAGTTCCCACTTTTTTTTTTTAAATGCACACGCAAATGTGAGGCTAACCGATCGCTACTATGCTCAGTCACAGGGTGACAGGAAAGAAGGCGACACCATAAAAGGGCGTCTGCACGGCATCTCTTAAAGCAACATGCCAAGCTGCACTGACTTCAGTTCAGGCAAATACTAACTGCTGCTCACAGAGACTGGGACAAGCTGCTGCTATGTGAGTACTAGAATCTGTGCTTTGACAACAGATTCTTTCAGGGCAAACTTTAAGTCTTAGGTTTTAAGGTAAATGGATCAATGTGGGAAGTAGCTATAAACACTTCTAAGAAAAACTGCTATCAATACAGTGTAGATTCTCTGCTTGCTGGCAGGTCTAATTAGTTAGGAAGCAAGGTGAAAGCAATGAATGGGTGATGCCAGAAATACTGCCCCAAAAAGGGCTAACTTTGTGCACTCTGATGTGGAGTCACAATGACAAAAAAACTGTGAAACCAATAGTTCAGGATAATTTAATGTGAAGGGAAAGGACCAAGGTTCTTTAAAATGAAGTGTTTTGCATTTCAACGTGTTTTATATATGATACAAAGCACAGCTTAAAATAAACGTCATCACATTTCACTATGTGGCCATACTTTTACGTATCTGTGTACATAAGTCTTTTCTGTATTTAAGATTGTTTTTCTGGACAGAATCTCACGAATAAAATTCCTAGAGCAAAGGGTATATTGTAGAAAGATTTGAACAGAAAACAGTATTTTTTTTTAACTAAAATATTGTATCAATTTACCCTCCCACCAAAAAAGTCTTGGCTTTACTATCTCTCAGATATTTTAATTCTAAAGGAACTATTAGATGAGCAAAAAAATAAGATCTCTGTTGTTTAGTATTTATTTGATGATCAGAAAGGCTAAATATGCTACCATATTTTTTTCTACAAAATCATGAATTACATGATGTTGTGATTTGCCAGTATTTACATTAAGGTTGAGAATGGTGGTGATGGAAATTCTTGGTAAAATACAAGCCGTGAAGAGATTTCCTCTAAAGATGGGTGTTGTTTTTTTTAGTTAAAGTCTCCAGTTGTTTGGTGTCACTCTGAATGCAATACGTTTAAGAGCAGGGGCTCTGGAATCAGGCTTAGACCTGGGCTCCATTATTTACAAGCTGCACGCTGCTTAACATCTGGCTTTCTTTCCTTCATTTGGAAAATAAAGAACATTTCTATCAAGTCCTTCTAACAATGACTTTCATAGTAATATGAACATTCTGCCTACCGATTTTCTCCCTACCTCTGCCCATTAAACTACCAAAGGATAAATCCAACAGGAAGCTTCCTTGCCCTGCCATCTTTTTCTCAAATTTATTTGAAGGTCTTTTATTTTATGGAATATTTTACATAGGGACTCTGAGTCTATGTGTGTTTATAAACATCTTCCTGTGCTTTCTAGTACTTCAGAGCATGTTCTGTCTCTGGGGGTTAATCATACTTTTGAACCTGTAAGAGCCTACAGCTCCGCAAGGCAATCTCGCTCCCGTTCTCACGTGTCGTGTGGCTGACTGTGGTGAGAATTCCTCTTACATGTTACTTTCGGCGGGCCTCCTAGAGTTTATTAGCACCATGACCAGTCGTTCAATGGAATAAACACTAACTCGGGTCACTCTGTGACTCTTGAGCCTGTACTAAACTGTGGGCGTTTACTAGACAGCTACTGCAGGTAGGTTTGTGAGATAATGTATGAGACAAAGTCATCCTCAGCGCGCCCATCCAAAAAGGAGCCCACCACCTAAGAGAGGAGTGCGTTCACCGGGGAGACCGTTCGCTGCCATGGGGGGGCCCTGAGGTTGGTAATAGGTCCTGGAGGGCGGCAGGCACTGAGGATGTGTAGTAGCCCCCAGTCCATCAGCTTCCCAAGAAGTCTACACAAGATGAGGCAGGCATGTGAAAATCCTCTGCAAACTATGGGGATCGTGTGTGGTATTTTGGAACCACACAAAAAAAAGAACAAATAATATATTTTTAGAGCTGGAGATTAAGCTCAGTGGCATTATGCCTGCCTCACAAGCACAAGGTCCCGAGTTCAATCCCTGGTACCAAAAAAAAAAAAA